CAGCATGCCCCAAATATAACGAATATTACAACTTTTAAAATATTTGAGAATCTCACATTTCTTATGGCGAGTAATGTTATCTAATGCTGGATGTACTAATATAACACCTTTTTCTAAAAGTGTATCATCAGTAAGTCATAAAATTTATTATCATTGAGTTTATATGAAAATAATTTGGGAAAGATTTATACTTGTATTAATATTTTACATAATGTCTAGAATGAATTTTGGACATGATCCAGTGATTCAACAAATGATTATAACAATTTGAATTTTTTATATGAGTCAGGATTTTTGAGTCCACATCCACTACCTAAACAGGATGCTAATGATGGAGAAGTTCTTTGGGATTGTTTTCATCAATCATTACAAGCCAATAAAAAAGGATATAATAGGAAAAAAAGAATCCTTTCTATAATAGCAGAAAATTTTCTTATAAAACTTTGATGGGTAAATTAGGGGTAAGTATCAAAAATATAAAAAATAAAAATCAACCAATAATCTATATTTACCTTTGTTTAAATAGATAGCAGAAGGTACAATTCTTGAGGCAAAAAAATATGCACAAATTAATGGCCCTGGTTGTGAAGTAATAGAAAAACCTGTAAGAAAAATCAAAAGAATTACTTCTGAACAAGAAGAACAATTCAATACCTTTTTTCAAGACAAAGCCCATGTCATAATGAGTTCTTATAAAACTGATGCTAAAACAGGTCAACCAGTGGTTTATCTAAAAAATACAAAAAGTGCATTATGGGAAAAATTCAATTATTCTTTTCCAAATGGTATTAAACATACAACCTTTTATGCCAAATTAATGGGTAATCAATATGTTAATCATGAAAACCTTGGAGGATTATGCTCTACATGTAGCACATATGGATATGAAACATTTGAAGATATTTTGAATCTAATAAGGGAAATAAACAATATGGAATTACAGGTATATTTAGTTAACAATTATAGAATTATGTTTTGACATATATAATTATTATTAAATAATAATCTTATTTAAAGAATACCTATTCCCAAGATGTCAATTCTTACAATGTTATTTAAAGAAAGAATATGAAGAACATTTAATAGTAACAGATCGTGGAACAACTTCCCATGACTCATGTATAAATCATTGCTTGTTATATGCATTTGGTGGATGTGATGCTCCACATACTCATTCCTGTGACAAATGTCAAGAAATGTTTCAATTTTTTGATGATTTGAAAAATAATCTCAATACCTCACATGATGAAGTAATCCAAGAATATAAAAATCGATTACTTTATTATCTTTCACATCAAACCAGGAAAGTTTATTTAAATGCACAGTTTAATGCTGCTCTTTTAGATCTAGATGAAAATGGAGCAGTATTAGTCATTGACTATAGGAATTATATTTGCAAATGTTATAACTTGGAATTTGCTCAAAGATTTGGACTATGACAACCCCATATTATCTTTTGTAGTTGATTTTAATAAAAATTCGAAAAATCCACACCTTTATCAGTCTCTACCACCTTCAATATATTTTAACATATCAAGAACACCTGAATTTTATATTCGATCTCCAGATATTGATTTTAAAATATTGGTTGAATGCTTTTTTGTTGACAAAAATCAATGGGAATATGATGAATTTGGTAATGTCAATAGTTGCCAAAAAAAAATTACCATATTACTTTTTTGTTAGAGGCTTATGCAAGCACATGTAAGTAGTTTTCAAAAGAAAAAAGTTATTTATTTATTTTTTTAATGTTAATCTTTAATCTTTTTACATAGATTTTTGTTATGGGAGAATGATATTGAAGAGCCCTCCTGTAATGAAGGAACATGGGAGTAGTGATGGGCGTAAAAATTATTTTGAAAAATGACCAAGTTATTAAGTACTTAATAACTCTATTATTAAGTGTTA